CAATGAAGCAAAGCTTTTAATTTATTTAATTATATTTTTCGTAGTTTCATAAGTACAACTAATAATAAATGTAACACATTTGTTTTATGTAAAAAATTATAAAATACGCTTTTTTACATATACGTCAATATTGATCAATTGTGATGTGTGTATACATCAAGTATGATAAATCAGCTGTNAAGCAAAGCTTTTAATTTATTTAATTATATTTTTCGTAGTTTCATAAGTACAACTAATAATAAATGTAACACATTTGTTTTATGTAAAAAATTATAAAATACGCTTTTTTACATATACGTCAATATTGATCAATTGTGATGTGTGTATACATCAAGTATGATAAATCAGCTGTGACAAGCATGCTCATCAAGTGTGATTGATCAGTGAGGATCACATGATCAATCAAATGACTATCACTGTTCTTGTAGGGGCTGTGTCTCCTATTTTTAAAGCAGGAGACAAAAGTGACATTTCGAACTATCGGCCTATTTCTAAGCTTCCTAATATTGCGAAATTATTTGAAAAGATTGTTAGTAGTAAACTTTCATTTGCCATTAAACAATCAATATCTCCCTCTCAACATGGGTTTGTTCCAGGGCGCTCAACCGTAACTAACCTAACCGTTTTTTCAAACTATTGTATATCAGCGTTTGTGGGTGGCTACCAGGTTGATACCATATACACTGATATATCTAAAGCTTTTGATCGTGTGTCACATAATTTACTTCTGCAGAAGTTAAAACACTTGGGTATTCACTCAAGCTTTCTGTCCTTGATAAACTCTTATCTTTGCAATAGTGTAAATAAAGTTGTAGTCGATGGGATTAGCTCATTCCCTCACTGCGACGTCGGGAGTTCCACAAGGAAGTATTTTACGCCCTTCTTTGTTCTCTTTATGAATGATTCCAGTGCTTGTTTTAAACATTGTGAATACCTGTTATATGCAGATGACTTGAAAGCAGGGTTGCCACTGACGAAAAAAAATATTTACCATCCACTTGAAAAAATCTACCAAATCTGGGAAATATCTACCAATAACTTTTTTATAGTTTTGTTATTTTTTTGTTTATTTTAATTAAAACTATAGTTTTTTTTATTTTTTTTAGTTACTTCAATAAGAATTAAGATTGTTTTTAAGAACTTTTTATTTAACTAGTTATACGGTATTTGCGTTATATTATTGGCATATTCTCAGTTTCCTTCAACTAAAAGCGGGAGTGAAGAAACTAAAGGCAACAATGAAACTTCATTATTTGAAAAACTTCAACTCGAGTTATTATAGACAAATGCTGTGACTCAAAAAAGTGATTTTTTTTAATATCCGCAATAGTTATCGAGTAAAAATTTTTTATTGCTTCAATTAAATCCAAAAAAAAAATCGAGGATTCAAACTATATACAACATATAGAAAAATTCCAAAAATTTTCGCCTAAATTTCGAGTATTTTACTCTGAATTTTTAGAACAATTTAAGGTATGGAGCTTTAAAGCCCATACTATTTGAATATAGCCAACAATGTGCTGCTTAAAATTTCCGTTGATTTTTTTTTTCATTAATAAAAAATGGCGTTGATTTATTTTTTTTTGCGAACAATCATAGTGCGTAATTACATACCTGTAAAATTTTTCTTTATCTTTAAATAATCATTTAAAATATTTAGACAATCAAAAACTCCTTGGGATTCCAGTAAAATGGAGCGCGATATGTTCGCTTTATATCGATATACATTTATACGTATGTAATTATATAAAAAGTATGCAAAGAAATTTATAATATATTTAAAGATAACTACGAAAAATAGATCGGGAACGGAAAGTTCATCAAAAATCTACCAAAATGGGAAAAAATTTACCTTTTTACCAACCCAAATTTTTTCTACCAATTTTGGTAACAATTTACCAAAGTGGCAACCCTGCTTGAAAGTCTTAGCGTTCTCCTCAATAGCTTTTATTAAGCGAAACAGTGCTCAATTCAATGATCCCTATACAAGAAATCTTGTATGTAATGCGTTTGTCAGGTCCAAACTGGAATACGCCTCTATAATATGAAATCCTTCTTACGAATTTCACCATAACAGGATTGAGCGTGTACAAAAATGTTGTTTAAAATTTGGTTTGGCTCAAATTAGGTTTGAAAATCCTACTCCACGATATATATCTCGCGGCAAAGTGATTAGCTTGCATACTTTTCGTAGTAGGCGGACTATCTCGGGTCTGATGTTTTTACATGATATTCTGAGTGGGGAAATTGACTGCCCAACTCTATTAGATCGCATTAAACTCAATGATCCAATCATTGCTACGTCAACATGATATGTTTTCGATTGACCTATGTAAGACGAATTATTCTCTAAATGAACCCATGATAAGGCTAATGAGTGATTTCAATTACATATCCCATTCCAACTGCTATATAATGTAAGAGTGAGCTAGCCTATTCTCGCCTGCTATAAGCCTATATTTTATTCCTTCTTACATCTCGAATTGGAATAATTAGTGATGTAGAAAATATTTGTCGTAGATGTTAGATAATAGATACCCATCAGATTTTTTCATACGTAATACTGGAAAACGACTCATATGTATACATTTCAACTTTGTGTCTTTCGATGGTTGATTACAAGTATTTAAATGCATATTTAATTGTTCCATTGTCACAAACGAATCACTAAACTATATACTTATAAATATTAAAGCCTTTACCTATCCGGTTACTATTACAACGGTACCGGGTTTGGCTTAAGAAATAAGTGTCACTAATAAATACTTAAAATGGCTGTCAAATTTTCGCAAAGTTGTCAAAAATTTTACCCACGCCGCGGCGATTCGGTAAGTAATTTTGCATTTACATTAATTAATTAATATTATAAAAGGCATTTACGTTGCAGAAAGCATAAGAACCAGGAGCGCAGCAGGAGAAACTTTGTAAAAAGTGAAGAAGTGAAAGGCAAGTACCAAAATGAGTAAAAAAACTATTAGGAATCTTGTGGCTTTAGAAAAGCAATATTTTAATAGAAATGCAGAAAAATATAGAAAAATAGATAGTTTTGCTTCGTAGAAAGTGAAGAAAGTGATAGTGCAAGTGTTATAATTGAAAGTGGCTGCAATAGTGAAGTTAGTTTAGAAAGTGACTGCGGTGAGACGATGTACCAGGGTGCTCCAACTTTATTCCAAAAGTTGACAACGTTCATAAACTCAAGTCCTGGGCAATTCGAAACTGTATATCGCATAACTCCCTAACAGATCTATTGCATACTTTAAAAGACATGGGTGTTAATGATTTGCCCCTTTCCGCGAAAAGTTTACTTGGAACTGAAAAAAATAAAATACAGCTCCAAGCTATACCCAGTGGTGAATTTTTTATTTCGGAGTCCAAGCACACTTTTCAGAAAACTTATTTGAGTTTCCAGAGGCCTTAGAAGAAATTAAAATAGATGTCGGCATAGATGGACTCAAGTTATTTAAAAGCTCTAATAAGGTATTGTGGCCAATTTTAGGAGCACTTGTTGGGTACCCCCAGGTACAACCATTTGTAATAGCTTGTTTTTCTGGCACCGAAAAGCCATGGAATATTAACGATTTCATGAAGGACTTTTGCGAAGAAGTGTCGCGTTTGAGGGAAGTTGGAGTAAAAATTGGTGAACATAATGTGAAATTTAGCGTTCGTGCATTTGTTTGTGATTCTCCTGCTCGTGCATTTGTAACAGGTGTTCAGTACCACAACGGAAAAAACAGCTGTCCCAAATGCACACAAGTAGGTCAATACTTAAAGAAGCGTGTAAGTTTCTCCAAGCAAATGCATGATGCACGGTCTGACTTTTCGTTTAAAAGTAGGTTTGATCCCGGGCATCACTGCAACCAATTTCGACATCAACCTAACATATTAGAACTTCATGATTTCGGCATAGTGTCACAGTTCCCGTTGGATCCTATGCATTTGGTTGACCTGGGTATAACAAAAAATTGCTTCACTTGCTATTGAAAAAGGCAAACGTAACCAAAATGAATGAAAAGCTAAATTTCGTTTCAAAATTGGTTCCATCTGAATTCGGTAGAGTTTGCAGAAGTTTCGACGAAATTGCTATTTGGAAATCAACAGAGTTTCGTCAATTTTTATTATATTTAGGCATATTTGTTTTAAAAGATAACATTGACGAGGACTTGTACTATCACTTTCTTCTCTTGCATGCGGGGATAAGACTTCTTTCATGCGAAAAAAAATACAAAAATGAAAAAAATGTGATTCAGGCAATATTATCAGAGTTCGTAAATTTTTTTGGAATTATTTTCGGTGAACATTTAATAAGCTTTAATGTTCACGGTTTATTGCATTTAACCGACTGCGTACAGGTTCGAAAATTACATGCAGCATTTAAAAAGAATTATAAAAAAACCCAACAAAATATTGCAACAGCTTTATTTGAGAATTCAGGAGAGAAATGGCCCACATTCAATTATATATAACAATATAACAATCGGGGATATTGAATATAGATACGAAAAAAGAAAAAGATTCCTTTTGTTTCACCCCTCTGTTTGGTCCTATTAAAGTAATCGAAATTCGTAAAGAATCCGGTCGGGATGTGGTACTAGTATATAACTTCCTAAAAATTCAAAACTACTTTGAGCAACCACTAGAATCTTCACCCGGATTGGGAATACTTTTAGCCAGTGAAATTAGTAATGAGTTAGTCATAATTAACAGAGCAGATATAGAATACAAATACTTTTGTATTCCCCAAGAAAATAATATTTTGCTTATTCCAATTCTTCACACTCTTTTTCACGCGTTTTCGAACTAAAATGTTCATATTGGCTGAATCACGTTTTTTCTAATTCATCTAGCCCTTTTTGTAAATAGTTAAAAATCTGAACTAAACTTTTGCCTTTGTAACTTAACTATTAAAAAATATCAAAAATTAAAAAAAAAATCCTTTTGTAACTTAACTATTAAAATATTTAAAATTCAATATGCCAAAAACTTACACTAAATGTCAATAACTATAACTAAAATTAATTATATTTTTAAGCAAACATGGATTTGTCCTTCGAAGAGAGTCAGCTGGATTTTTCCTTTGGTCAATCCCAGGCTTTGGTCACACCCCCAGGTAAATTCTCCATATAATTTTAGTATATAGACATATATTTTTATTTTGTATTTATTTCCAGTGTATAAACTTTACAAAAAGAAATTTCAGCTGGATTCGGCCTACGATACGAGAGACCTAAGCAAAGAAACACAAAAAGATTTCAATACAGGTAACTTTAACTCGTTGAAAGTATTCGCTTAGTTTTTTTCACGACATTAAAAATATCTTCCATTATAAATGTTTTTCGTTAATTTTTATTTAAACAAAACCGTAATTTTTATTTAAAAAATACCATATATGTTGCAAAAGCTCGGCGAATTTCAAAATAATTTTCATCGAAATTTAAAACTTTTCAATCACTTGTGAAAATACTAAACACCTAATATTTCTGAGTTTTCAGTATTATGAAAAAACTAAAGAACTAATATTTCTGTGAGTAACTGTACATGTTATATTTTTACAATTTCAGAAATCAAGGATCTTTTAGCAAAAATTTTGGAAACTCAAAACGAAATGATGTGCAGACTCGATATTTTGGAGAAAGCTGTAAAGGAAAATGTATGCAGTTCGAGGCAATTTTATATACACAATTTTATTTTCACACTCATATCAAATTCGCCTAGACGTATATACCAATTTGCCTTTTTTATTATATTGGAATAGGCGCTTGATAGAGGTGTTTTAATGGCACAAAACCAGAACGTAAGAGAATGCAAGGCCGTGCTCACCAAAGTTCACCACTCTGTAAGCCGTTTGACAGGCGAAGTAGAAGACCGTACACAAATCGAAAAAGTAGCTTCATTGCCAATGGTTAGCGTTGACGCCGCATATGAGGTTGAACAAAAATTAAAAGCAAAAGAATATGCAGAAGCAATGGTATATTTTGATCACTTTTTAAATCTTATGGAATTATTCAATAGACCTTTTTTATAATTTACAGAAAATATATTTGTACCAAATTAAAGGCACAAGCGGAACTGTAGATGACGTCTTACGTAAACTTATGGCCGATGAACTTTTGATTTTATTCAACTTGGATGGGAGAAAAAATAAAAAGGCATTAATTAAGCTTGTGCTGGTTAATGAATTGTTATTCGGTATGTTGATCTCGTAAAATGTTTATTCCAGAGACCGAAAATAATCGTTATATTTAAAATTGGTTTGTGTTTATTTCTCTTTTTTTATGTATTTTGCTTAATAGTTTGCTGAGATATACAAAGTACTATATTTATATATTTTTTTTGTGTACATCCTTACTTAAAGTAGTCTCAAACGTGGTACATTTTAAAATAAAAGTCGCTTATTCCTTAATTTTAAGGTACAGAGCTATATAACGTACCATCAAATTAAGGAATAAGCGACCTTTACTTTAAAATTTATCAAACTGGAAACAATTTTAAGAAGTTAAGTACAAAAAAATAATTGTGGGTTAAGCCACTTATGCTCTCATGGCCTCATATGCCATTCTTACATTCCTCTCTTTCAGATGTTTTTAAAGCTGAAGGTCGACTTAGCTTCGACAAACTTTTAAGAAAGTCTGTTGAGCTAAGTCACAACCGGTACCGCCAGAAGAAACTCATCCAATCAAGAAAAAACGAGGTGGAAGCAAGTTCTCAAACAAGGTTTTAAATCGTGGTTATCATACTGGTCAAAAGTGGGATTACCATTTTGAAAATTAATTTTTACTTTTAAATACTATAAGTAAGACTCAATACAAGTAAATGAATTTGCGCAATTTCTAAGTAAAATTATTTTCCTTAAAATTGATTCTTAGCTTTATTTAAGTAAAGCAGGGATCACACGATTTGTACATTAGTACAGATTTGCACATTTTGGTAGTCACAGAGTGGGGTTGTTTGGACAATTTTTTTTATTGAGCTGGGCCCATCTCGATAAAAGTTTCTAGACAACACCACTCTGTGACCGCCAAAATCTACAAATCTGTACAAATGAAGAAATCGTGTAATCTCTGCTTAAGAGTTTATAGAATTGAAATGGATTAAGCTTTATGTTTTGTATTCGATTTCCAAAAATTTTAAACGTAAATTTTCTGATATATATACATATTTGTAGTACTTAGATTCAATAAAACTTCAATATTGAAATAAATACCTACTAAATATTTTGTTATTTATACAGTGAAAATAACGGGTATGTATATCACATAGAAAATGTATTTTCTGTGCGTTAGGATTACACTATATGTGTATGCCATGTGATACGTTATATATCGCGTTAAAAATTGCCTTGCTATAGACGATTGAAAAGAGATAACTATTCTATTTCATAATAGTAAAATTTCGTGTATAAAAAAGAGATAAACGCTCACACGTACAACAGAGAATGCGTTAGATTGGTCCCGAAGGCCTTTACTAAATGATGGAAAATTTTTGAATTTCTCACGCATACTTTTTGTAGCACTACATGGGATATAACGCGTTAGATTACAAATACTGTTCTTACTGGGTCACGCAAAGTGTACAATGTTAGCATTTTTGCCAATAGGATAGAATTTAAGAAAACCTTGTGTACATGTTACTCTTAATGATACAGTTTATTAAGTTTTTTGCTATTCTAGTCTGTAAGATTGTACTAATCATAGACTCTAACACCCCTATTCTGCAACTCTTTCGTATTCGGATTTTGCTACGAATCGTAGAAACTTTCGAAATTCGTAACAATGGCATGCCTAAAAACGAACGAATAAGCCTTTTTGCGTAATTTTGTACGAAAAAAATTCTGTGTCGGAGGCGAGATAAAAGATGTAAATCGATGTGTGTTTGCAGGAAATATTAGTGGTGTTCTTCTAAGCAGATAAATATGCCTTTCGTATATACGCATATTTTCATCCACTGCTTTATATAAACGAACAAAAAATAGTCTTTGTTGCCCTTATCGAGGAACTTGGGTCCGGTTTAGTTATTTGTACAACGATTTTTGGTTGTTGTGTCCAAAGGCATAACCCGAATCCAAAAACTTTAATATACACGTAATCAAAAGATGAAACTTTTATTTAAAACAAATGTTTCAAATTCCCGGGCACTAGTTATTAATAATTCGGTTTGCACTATGCACTTTTTTTGTAAATTGCGATGTGGGTTCTGCGCAAAAATACAGTGGATGGTGTAGCCCGAGTTATATTCATAAGAAACGTTGTATACCTTTAACATGCGGAAGCCCCTCTTCTCCGTCAACACAGAAGGATAATTCTACTTAGTAAGGGTTATAATCCCTAAGCGCGGCCGAAGGCAGAAGTAAGCGCAGTAGGTGGTGGGAAGTACATGTTTTCAATGGCTTGGAAGAAGCTGTTATTGCATTAACTGGATTGAGAACCAGTTCTTCAAGCATAGGAGCAGTTCTGGCTTGTGGCTCAACAATTCAACCGGAAGCTGGCATAGATGCGTTCATGGTTACTATGCCCGACAGCTCCGCATATCTTTGTGAAATCTTTCCCATAGCGCGCTCTTATTCCGGTGCTATAATTGCAAATGCTACATAATCCATATTTTCCTTCAAAATATATAAAATCAAACAATTTTAATATAAATAAGCACCGTCATGAGTGGTTTTTTAATTCTCCACTTGGTATTCCTTCATTCAGCTATCTTCGAAAAACAACTGATAGCTGGCAATGCTGCACATGTTTCCGCATGGGTTGCAGCATGTGGATTTTTCGTAGCGTAGCTACGAATCACGAAAATTCGGGTTCTAGAATAAGGGGGTAAATAAATAAAAAGAGCTTGAATTTGCGGGACCAGTGGGCTGCACTAGCGAAACGGGGACAAACCTACAAAAACAGATCCGGACATGCACAACAAAAGATTCATATAATAAAGTTTTATAACTATTATTATCGTTGTCAATACTCACTTATAAGGGTGGAACAAAGCGGCTGCACTGCGGTAAAAGACTGCTCCGGCGGAACGTGGACGGACACACTAAAACTGACCTGGACCTGAACCTGAACAAAGTGGCTGCACCAGCGGAACGAGAATACTGGAGCAGCGGACCTTGGATGGAAAAACAACTGACCCGAACCTGTACAATAAAATATTCATATAGTTAATATACTTTAACAACTATTGTTGACGTGGACAATGCTTACTTGAAGGTGTGGAACGAAGCGGCTGCATGTGGGGTCTGAAAAGCTGCACCTGTAGAAGAATGCTGCACCAGTGGAACTTGGCCGGGCTCACAAAAACTGACCCTCACCTGCACAATAAAATATTCGTATAATATTCAAACTATTATTAACGTGTACTATACTTACTTGTAAGTGTGCAGCACCTGCGGTATAAAAGGTTGCTCCTTTAGAACGAGAATGCTGCTCCGGCGGAACTTGGACGGACACTCAAAAACTGACACGGGCATGCACAATAAAAAAAAGTGATATACTACATAGTTTTGTAAAGATTAAGAAAGCTCGCTATGCAAAAAATTTGTACAAGTTGGTACCAATTGTTACCAAATCGTGTTCGTTTAGCCAAAAACCCAGTAAAACTTGCAAGGAGAGAGCACAATTTTGACATTTCATGTGGAGGGGAAGTTGCAAATTCGTGCTGGGAAAATTTTTGCCAGTAGGAATTTGCAAGCAGGATTGTGGCACACGGTTGCATTTTTGTCAACATTAATTTTTATCAACGAGTTCGTTAAATTTAAAAATGAACAATCTTGTTGCGATTTACTAATGAAAGAAGTATGTAAATATTCGTTTATTCAATTAATTTATTTAACTCCAAACATTTGAAAGGTACTCGGCTGAAAAAGTATTCCGAAAGCACTCGACACCACTGTCGATATAGGAAATCCGGCAGTGACTTCCACAATGAAATTGAAGCGTATGTTGAAGAAAGTCAGAATAAGAAGAAATATACGTATAGGCCCTGTTTTGGTTTCCACCTGAAATAATTTAAAAAATTTACACAAAACTTTGTATTCTCCACCGCTGAGCAAATATCAATAAAAATACCTAAACGTCAGCAGCTGTCAGAGCTGGGTCGTAATGATTCCTTTAGGATACAAATTACTCCCAATTACAAATTACAAGGAATTGTAATTAGGAATCAATTCCTTCAGTCCACAGCAAGGGAATCGATTACTTTCCCAATTCCTTGAAGTAATTTCAAATGTAACTGTTTTTTTTAATTCCATTACAAGAAACCTCATATTGTAATTGGAATGAATTACGAGCTAGTAATGTAATATTTTTTTTTAAATTCCCTTGAAAGGAATTGAAAACGTAATTGATTTTATTTCAATTCCATTACCTGGAATTGCAAGAGTACTTTAGTTGTTTCAATTACTCAAAGGAATTGTAAAAGTAATCGAGAAACTGAAAGTTCATTCACGAATGTACAATGTGGAACTTTTGTTGTGGTCAAAGATTAAAATCGAAAGCACACATTGGACATCTTCTATCTATATCTATGTATAAAGAGCAAAACTGGGTAAATGCAATTACATTGGAATTACAATTACATTCCTCAGTAATTGTAATTAGGATTCAATTCGTTTAGTTCACAGCAAAGGAATCGATTACTTTTTCAATTCCTTGAAGTAATTTCAAATGGAATTGTTTTTTTCTTTAATTCCATTACAAGGAATTTCATATTGTAATTGGAATAAATTACGTGCTAGTAATGTAATTTCTTTTATTTCAATTCCTTTGAAAGGAATTGAAAATGTAATTTTTTTTCCAATTCCTTTGAAAGGAATTGAAAATGTAATTGATTTTTTTTCCAATTCCATTCCTCAAAGTAATTTAAAAAGTAATCGAAAAATTTATAAAAAAAAATTGTTTACTGTTGAATTGCAATAGCTTTGTTAAATTTCTTGGTTGCTAACTGCCTTGAATAAACAACTTATACCTAAGTAGTATTACTAATTGGACTTTAAGAAAACTGAATAGCTTAAACTGTAGCTGTTCAGTTTATAAGGTAACGGTTAAATTTTCCAGATCCTACTGCTGTTCTCTTGGACTAATCCCTGCGTACCTATAAAAATGCACTGAGTTAATTTTGTATATTATGGTACCCTTAATTCTACCCAAAATGGCGTGCCTTCTGGGGCCTTTGAAGTACTCTTACTGGTACCCTGCGTTACAAATGAGGATAGAGTCCGCTTGAATTACGAGCCCTGTCGAACTGGAGATCCTACCTCCTAAGAGTTTTATAAACATATATCATTGCTATGGCTTAATTTTGATGATAACACTGTAACGACGCTCAAATTACACAAAAAAACGCCGAGAGGCGTAAAATTAATTTTAAGTAGTATGTTACGGATCTGTATACCATTTTTTTTAGATAAGGTCATTTAGTCAAGTTATTTTCATTTTAAGTTTTCATTGCGAATGAAAAAAATCCAAACTTAAGATGGTCATACGGTCATGTACGATATGGCGTATGGGTAACATTA